CATCAATTGTTAAACGACCATGTGTTGTTGTTGTTCCTCGAGATACACCAAAAAATAAAACAGATGCTATTGAACATTATGGTGCCGAATTAGTTATGTGTGATCCAACACCTGTAAGTCGAATATCAACTTGTTTACGAATTAGTCAAGAACGTGATTATTTAATTATACCACCATATGATCATCCAGATGTTATTGCTGGTAAGAGTGAATTTTCTTAGAATGATTTAATTTATTCGAAAGTTTTTTTTTTTTGTTTTCGCTCAATGATAAGGTCAAGGAACAATTGCTGTTGAACTTCTTGAACAAGTACCTAATCTTGATGCAATATTAGTACCAGTCAGTGGTGGGGGCCTTATAAGTGGTATTGCTCTATATGCTAAACGTATTAATCCACATATTCGAATATATGCTTGTGTACCTGAAGGAAAAATGCTTGAAGAATGTTTAAAAGCAGAAAAACGTTTATGGCCTGAACCTCCTCAATTTCTTAAAACTAAATGTGAAGGTATTTTAATATGACAAAAAAATTTGTTCTTTTTTTTTTTTTTGTCATAAAAATATTTTTGTTTTTCTAAGCATGTCGTTTACAACAATGTGGTACACTTACATTTCCAATAATGTGTTCATTAATTGAAAAACAAGTATTTACTATATCCGATAAATTAATGATTGATGCAACACGATTTGCATTTGAACGACTTAAATTAGTCATTGAACTTGCTGCTGGATTATCACTTGGTGCTATAATATCTTATTTTGATCAATTAGATCCAAATATTCGTAATGTAGGTATTATTTTATGTGGTGGAAATATTGATTTAAGTGTACCATTACCATGGCTTCAAGAAGATAATCAATAACATTGTGTGTGTGTGTGTATTTTTTATAATCATTTTGTCTTAATTTCTAATCAAATTTCTATACTTCTTGATATGTTAGTTGTTGTTGCTGAAGATGCATTTTCATTCATATTTTGACGACGAAAATAAAATAAATCTATATGAGAATCATTATTATGATAATTAGCAGTGTTAGGAGTAGGAATAGGAGTAGTTATATGAATTTTTTTGTTCTTTTCATCTTGTATTTGTCGTCCTGTTCTAACACTTCGTTCTAATATTTTTAAATAGGTTTGTTTATCTAAGTCCTGTGATATGGATTTAGTAGCTAAATCAAAATTATTTATATTTAAATCATTTTCAATATCATTGTCTTTTTTTGAAGCTTCAACATAATATGTTCTATATGTTTTTTGATGCAAATAACTAAAAAGAAACAAAAAGAAAAATATTCTATTAAATTAAAAAAAAATGATTTTATTTTATTTTATTTTACTTCAAACTAACCGTAAAATTTTTGGTTGTAAGGCACAAATTAAAATAAAAAGACATATGCCACATATTGCTAATATTGTTATACTAATTAGTATGACTGCAAAAAGATCCATAGAAAAAAAAAACAATGAATGTCAATCGTTGATAAACCATATTCTCATCGTTATCATCATCTGGCTACTGACATCACCCGAGTCTTATCAAATGTCATTCCAAATGGAGTCATTATAGGAAACAAGAGAAGATGAATACGTATATGAATAGCCTGGAAACAATGAACATCAAAGTAAATCAGTAAGAACTGACTAGTAATAAAGCATAGCGGTTATATCTCTTACTCGTTCTCTTAATATATACAAAAAATAATTTCTGATTCTTTTAACTTTGACTAACATATACTTTGTCTATTTGTTCGGGTCCGAATGCTCGTTTTATGTAGACTTAATGATCGTTTGAGAAACAAAAACCAATTGAAATAAAACTATTCATTGCCGGATACGAGAACGATCAATACAAACATTTATTTTATCTAAGGAAAAAAAAAAGTCAAAAAAGTTAAGAAATGAATGGAAAAAAAAAATAAGCTAAAACAAATGTTAACATTAATGACTTGATGAAAGAAAAGGAAATGTGTTAGTATTAATAGGTTTCTTTTTTTTGTCTATGATGTGTTATTTGTACTACGTCTGTTTTATACATACATTGATATAAATATAAATATATATATATATTTATATATATATATATATGTATCTATGCGCGTGCTGAATGTTCCGGGATGATTATATCGTGTCAAGTTTCTCATGAGACTAAATCTTAATTGAATGTAAACTAACTGTTTTCTTTTTGTCACAATTGATCAAACAGAATTAATTTGTCATCAATGATTTTCTCTTGAAAGCAAAATAATACTTAAATATAATGTGTTAATTTTGTATTGACTAATTAATAAATAAATAATTCAAATGGTAATAACAATAACGTTTTTTTTTTCTTTTTCTTGATATAAAAATTTCATAAGAATTTTTCTTAATGTAAAACAATCAAATAATTTGAATAATTAATCTTATTCTAGATCTCAAAATTATTATAAACAAGTTATTAGTTATCCATTATTATGCTGTCAAAATGTCAATCAACAAATCATAAATATTAAATAATTAGTATGTCCAAAACAAAACAAATTCTATCAAAAAATAAAAATATTCAAAAATTAATTAAATATAGAAAATAATGTGTTAATAATTTTATTATTCGTTGTTTTTTTTAGTATTCTTTTTTAAAATTTGTGGAAGTAAACTTCAATTATATTAATCATTGTGTCTCATTTGTATGGCTTTAAGATTGTCACATTATTGTGTTTCTACTTTTTTACAGAAGTTTTTAATAACTTAATGCTAATCTTAATGACAGTATTTACATGAATTTCATGCATGACAAACTATGAAAACGCTTAAGAACATTAATAGTAAAAGAACATCATTATGTAATAAATGTTCATTAAAAACTGGTCTATTTAAATAGATTGTAGTTTTTTCTTCTTTGTTCTCTTTTTTTTTTATCATATATATAATAGTTTCTAAAAGACTGCATATCATTCCATATGGTATGTATGAAGTAATCTAAATATTGTTGGTATGATAAAGTGCATTGACTTTTACTCTTCCAAAAAACAAAAAAATAGCTCTTGATATAACTCAGTTACATTACTTTTTTTTTCTTTATTTCTCTAAATCATCATACTGACTATCGATGAATAATGATGATTAGCTCGAAATGATATGACACTACTTTACTTGATATATTCATATCAAATCGATTGATATTTATTGTATGTGTGATCATGTTCACTTTTTTTTTCTTCTTCTGTGTTAATCAAACCTATCGCAAGAAAAAAAAAGAATAAAAGATAATTGGCATCATTTTAAAGATATCTTTATGATTTCATATTTTGTTACTAGTAATGCTTCATGTCATATTCTTGTTCATTTCTATCTATATTAAATGAGTAGATTTGACCAAAAAAAAATAAAAAAAAAACGAAACCATCCATCCTTTATATCAATCAATCGTATACATGTCGAAATTCTTTGCATAGTTACTAATGATTACCATACAGTTGAAATTCCATTTTCTGATATGAATAATAATAGTTACTTATCGATTAAAAAAAAAATATTAGATAAAGTATGTATATCATTCATTTATCTATTTATATCCTCAACAGAAATTCATTTATTTTTCTTTTTTTTTATTTCGAATTTCATTTTCTTTTAATAGTTTGTCATTATGAATTGAATTCATAAATAACTTCAATGACTTTCATTTAAGTAAAAATGTATGCATTTAGATATTCTTTTGATATATTCAACTGTATGTATCGTTAATTGATAGACTAGATGATTGTTTTATAATTACTTAAGTATAGTAAAAAGACAATAGAAGAAAATATAAGTGAGAAGAAAAAACTAAAAAGATGAGTGAGAAGCTTTAAGCATCACACCAAGTAATTGCATCCATATCTTCTTGTCTTTTATGTCGTCTATCTGTCATTCGATGATGACAATGTTGTAGAGTGCTAAAGCGGAACCTATTTAATGTTTCTAATTGCTGCTCGAGTAACAACTCTTTCATACTTCCTCTTAAATTGATTGTGCGTTGTGAATAAAAAAAAAAAAAAAGAAACAGAGACAAGAAAAAACAACATATACACAATGGTGATGAGTTAGATGATAGAAGTAAAAAAAAGAAGCTGAACGAGTAAAAGAAAAAAGCTATGACTTTGTACACCTGCAAGCAGACAAATAGAGAATATTAACAAATGAAAAAGACGGTAGGATTTGATATAATCATCATTCTGATGGGATTTTCTTACATATATATATATATATCGTTGACTAATACTTCTTGTTGATCAATAATTATATATGTTAACAAGAGAAGAGATTGAATTAATCAGCTACAACATAAATTATCATTAGTCTTTTTTTTTCTTCTTCTTCTTCTATGTAATACTTCGCATGAATGATAATTTGAAATGATTATCATTATCATTTGACTCTCAATTAGTGATTTTGACAAAGAAGCAAAAAAATCCAGGTCCCATTTAACTTCTATAACTTTTTACTGGATGCTCATTGAAGACAAATGAAGCATTATTATCATCTTTGTCGTCTCTTGTACACCTGACAATTGTAATTTGACACGTATGAGTTTAGTTAGCAATCAAAATGAGAGACAGAAGAGAAAAAGCAAAGAAGCAATGATGATAATGATGATGATTCTTTTTTAGTTCTATCTCTCTCTCTTTATACTTGCGCATGACTGACTTTAATGGTAAACGATGCTATAGAACAAGACAGGTCAAATATAAAAGTGAACTTTGATGAATATATATAGAATGAATAGTTTACTAATTATTTGTTAATTGATTCACTAATCAATAATATATAATTCAGTAAGAATTTCTTTTTCTTATTTCTCTTAAATATTTCTTGAGGGTATGTTATCTTTTTATATATACATATATGATAATTTGTTAATTGTCTAAATAAAAGCTTAATTGTTTATATTAAATGCTCATTATTTCAAAATAGTTTTCTTTAGATTGTCTTCTATATTCTTTTTGTTTTTTTTGTTCATTTTTATTATATTTTCAATATTATGTCTATAAAACCAATATCAACAAATGATTTATATCAACATTATATTTCATCATTAAATGTATTACCAAAAATTTCAAAAAAAAATCATCCTATAACAAGTTTTTATATAAATGATATACTTGGTGATTCAATAAAAACTTATAATAAAGATTATTGTCAATCAATTTTAATAAATAATAATAATAATAATAATGAAGATTTATTAAATAATATAGAAAAGAAAAAAAAGAAAAAAGCTCGAACAACATTTACAGGTAAACAAATATTTGAACTTGAAAAAAAATTTGAAGATAAAAAATATTTATCATCAACTGAACGTGCTGAAATGGCAACATTACTTACTGTTACTGAAACACAAGTTAAAATTTGGTATATTTTATGAGAATAAAAAAAAAAAAACAAAAATCAAATTGAATATTTTTGTTTTAAGGTTTCAAAATCGTCGTACAAAATGGAAAAAAGCAGAAAATATATCAAATGCAGAAGCAGCTGAACATAAATTAGGTATAAGAAAAATGTCATCATCATCATCATCATTAGATCATAATCAAAATCAATTTATTAAAATATCTATGGATGATAATACAAGTTGTAAAAATAGTATTTGTAGTTCAATGGATTCACAACGATCTGATGAACAAATTTATAATGCATCAACTTTATCAACATTTCCTTTATTTTATTTTAATGATTTTCAACATTTACTTCGATCATCATCATCAACATCAACACTTAATGGATGTTGTTCTTATTCAATTTCTTCACCATCAACTTCTTCACCTTTACTAAATTCGGAAATAAATCATTGTTCATCATCATGTTCTACATCTATGAATGATAATAGTGATAATTTTAAAGCAAATGAAAATATGCGAGATATTCAAGATCATGCTCGAGACAGAGAACGTGATTAAAAGGAGAAAAAAAAAACAAGATTATTGTTTTGTGTTTGTCTATAAACATTTTTTCTTTTTTATTAATAAATGTTATCATGTACTTTTACAATATAAGAAGTTTTATATACATTTATAATGGTAATTGGCATAGAGAATCAAAATAGTAATTTGGATATAGTTCTTTGTTTCAAATAATGAATTAAGGATAATAAAATTGATAATATTTGACTTTCCTATATCAATTTTAAACTTCTGTAGGAAAATCGGACAAAAAAGAACTTTCTTACAATTGGTCAAAACATCTGATTTTTTATAGAATTAGTTGGTTTGTATTCAAAAGAGATTGTTATTTTGAGGATCTAGATTTTGAAAAAAGTAGGCTTTAGATTTTTTGAAAATAATAAGAATTTCTCATAATTAACAAGATACACTCTACGGATAAATGTTTATAATATTAATCTGTATGATTAACTTTTAAAATCATTGAATATGATTATCTTTATATTTTCATTCATTTTGACAGATTGTTTTTAATATTCCATGTAATATCCCATGATGAACATAATGGTTCATAATATTTTTCATTAGGTGCATAAATTTTTCGTTTGTTTAAATAATCTAAACGACCTTCAAATTCTTTACTAATACCATTATATAAACAATAACGTATTGATGGTAAAACTGGATACATTGGTTTAAGATAAATATTATTTAATTTATATAATTGAAATTTTGTTAATTTTTCTTTTAATTCTCGTACTTCTTTTTCAAGTTTTGTTTCTTTATATGAAATAGTTTGATTAAAATCATATGTTAAAAGTCGTCGTCTTTGATTACCGTTCATTAGAAAATTTTTATAAATATTTCTATGAAACCATGAATCATAATTATAATTATTTGTATTTACATTATAAATAATTTCTTCATGTTTATTATATGTTTTACCATTAATTGGTAATGGCCAATTAGAATGTTCTTGAGATATTTTATCTTGATATCGTTTCCATGCTTGAATACGTATATAAGCTTCGCGTAAATATAAAGATTCAAGTTGAAGATTTTTATACTGGTTTAACTCATGAAAATTATGACGAACACGAAGATTAGGTTTTTTAGGTAATTTTGTTCCCATTTTATAGAGATTTTGTTGTTAAGCAAAAAAAAAATCACAAATAGCGCATTTATTATAATTCAACAAGTAGTTAAATTGTCTAAACTTATGAAATAGAATTCGATAAATATAATAATAAAATCATAATTTGTCAATTGCTATTCATTGTTGTTATTTATAGAGGTTTGTAGTTCTAAGAAAAATGAAACCGAAATTTTTGCAATTTCTATGATCGAGAAAAGAGAAGTAACACCATGAATTACAAGAGAATAAAATCGGAATTGTTAATAATGGAAATTCTTTTTAATAATAATTACTTAAGTGGAAGTATGGATGAAGAGAAGATCTCGTTAAGACTCATATCCACATCGCGCACTATTATTCTAAATGCTATGATGCTTCCAGAAAATCAATTCATCAGTTTTTTCATTAATTAGAACGTACGTAAATATAGAACGATGAAGTACACAATTCTTTTCAAAATGAAACGTCTCCAAGCTAGTTGAAATGCAAACAATACTACGGAAACTCCTAAAGTTAGGCTTTTTTTAATACTGTTTCCTATTAAAAATAAAAAAAGTCATTTTCTAGAGAATTGTTTGCTCAATCGTTTTGTGTAATCTAGAAGAAATTATATTTCTATGTTCTAGATTAAAAAAAAATTAGATTTTTGGTTTTCTAATCTCTCTATCTATTAAGAATTTAAAATTATTTTTATTCAAAACATTTTTCTCTGTTCGAATCACTGTTTAGACTTTTTTTTTAAGATTCTAAGATACACTTGAGAATAAACCGTATTGAAAGATTTCAATAGTCAATATATATATTAGTGCTTTTGTATAGTATCTGCCGATTATTGGTTCGTATGAGTGTTTGAAGGGACAAAAAGAAAAGGAACTTGGAATTCTGATTTCGAATATTTTTTTTTGCATCCATTACTTTTAATACGTAGACTTATTATCTCGCGTGGGTTTAATAGATACCGACATAATAACAAAACCAAACAACTATTCTCTAATTCTATGTATTGAAGCGATTATCGTCTTCTTTGAACGATGAAATAGATGAGTATAAAGAATAGAGTGCAGTGTGTAAATACATTCTGTTAAAAAGGAATCTAATGTAAATTTACGACGATAGTTAAAGATGAACAAAAAAAAACAAAACCGACAGTTGAATATAAAACAATAATGAATGAAACTACTTATATGTATATAAATGTTTTGAATCAAGGAGACAATTTATAACAAAAAAAATGCCATATTAATTCTAGTTTAAGTGTAAAAAATATGAAGAATTTTAAATTCATTTGACGAGTGCTTGCTAGCAAACGATAGGAAAAAAATACTAGTTCATTTCTCAATACTCAATACATTTATAATCAATTTCATTTAGATCAACAAATGTCGATTAGTTTCTTTGAAAAAAACAGTTCACAACAAAAGTATTTCTATTTTAGTTTATTCTTCTTGTTGTAATAACTGTTGTGAAAGTTCTTAAGTACATGTCAGATTGAACTGTATCCGAACAGAAGGTGAACATAACGTTCTTTCTATTACGACTCAATAGAGCGTAATGTCTAATTTAAAATGAATTGTTCGGCTAACTACAATTTGTGTACAAGTCACGACACTGATCTGAGTTTCTTCAAAACTTTTGAAAAAATGACATATTTTAAATTTTTTCAATTAAACTTTTGCATTATCAAAAAAAAAACCAGTCAAAATCTTAGCTAAGACAATATCTTCAAGGGTGACTTTTGTAGATTATATAAATAATTATATTCATTCGTGTTGTTATTTAGTTCTGATAGACTACTTTTCTTTGCAAGAGAGCCCCTCTAAATTATTGTAATTCTTTTCTATAAGCAATTAGAACAAGATTGATAACAACATGAAGAACTCTTTTCAAATAACAAGAATATATAGAAAAAAATTAATTAAAATGTTTACTCAAAACTCATTTGATAGTTGAAATTCTGAGATATTCTTTTAAACAATAAATTATTAAAATTCTGCCCCATAGATGGACCCAACTGTAAATAAATTATGCTGATATTTTCAGCTAAACAGAAATTTCTCTTCATGAGATATGAAAACTCTCAAAAATCACTGATATTTCACAAAGGATTAGATAATCTTCTGTTTTTTGGGCGGAAACGAAATTCAATATCTCACTAAGGTAACATTCTTTTGATCTAAAATTTCCAGTATAGTCCAGTTGAAAGTAGACTAATCTTTAAACAATATCGCAGATCGAACTATGAAAGTTTTCTCATAGGTAAAATTTTAGGCTTATAGATATGAGTATAATTTAAAAGTCTATATTGTTCGTTCATGAAGAAATGTTCATTGGCAATCAATTCACTTGCCTCTAGACTATCAAAATAAGCATTACTAAATGTATGAATTACTTCTTCCAAATTATGCCTATTTTTCAGGTATTAATATATAATAAAACATATAAATTTAAATGTAACTTTGCTGTTCAATGATAGAAAAACATGCTAATGAAACAACCATGATTTGTCTAGTAGCGATAACTATTATGATAGTTACCAACATATTTTTTTTTAAAAGAGGTCGTTGCCTCAACAAATTGTAACGCAATGGCAAGTTGAAAAAGAAAAAACTTGTAACTATTAGTTATAGTCATATAAAAAAAAATTGTTGCTTATTGTTTTATCAACATGTCTGAAGAAGAATCTGAACATGAAGAAGCTGAAGAAATTGAAGCAGAAAATAAATCAGGTTCTTTTGCTTTTTTTTTTTTGTTTTTATTAATTTAATAAATAATTGATATTTAAGAAAATGATGGTGAAGAAGAAGGAAAATCTGAACATAGTGAAGAAGAAGCTGAAGAAGAAGTATAAAAAATTGATTGACATTTTTCTTTTTTTTTGTCTTTTTAAAAAATTTTTTTCTTTTTTATTTAGGTACGTGAAGAAGTTCCATTAACAGATGAAATTATTGCACAATCACTTTCATTACTTGCAAAAACAGGAAATGGTTTAGCACATGCTTATACTCGTCTTGAAGCATCAAATCGGTAAAATTTAATTTCGTTTTTTTTTTTAATTCAAAAAAAACGAAATTTCTATTTATTTTAATAAATAGAAATTTAACGGATATAACACGTCTTGAACCATTTATTCATTTACGTTTTATTGATTTATCAAATAATCGTCTTCGTATAATAAATTCATTAAATCGTTTAAAATTTTTATTAACACTTAAACTTGATTCAAATGAATTATCAACATTTGATTTACCACCATTTCCATATTTACAAACACTTTGTTTAAGTAATAATCGTTTACGATCAATTGTTGGTATTGCACAACCACGATTAGAAACACTTAATCTTAATCGTATGGTTTTTTTTCGTTTTTTCAATAAAACAAAAATCAACTCTGTTTATTTTTTATTTTTGTTTAGATAATCAAATTGATAGTTGTACGGGTCTTGAACAAAGTAAATTACCAAATTTAATAACACTTGAAATGCGAGAAAATCGTTTAACAACAACAAAAAATATAGCATTACCTAATTTAAAAAATTTATTTATTGTAAATATTACAAAAATCATATATCTATATGAATTAGCGCTGTTGTTTTTTTTAGGCAGCTAATAATATAACACAACTTGAAGATTTACATGAATTAAATCGTTTAACAACACTTCATTTACGTGATAATAAAGTTGAAATATTAGATGGTTTTAGTGAAAATATGAAACATTTGCAATATGTTAATTTACGGTATAGATAAACAATTATTTCTTATATATATATATATAAATATGAAAAATTTTAGTGCGAACAATATAACTGATCCAGAAGAACTTAAAAAATTAGCTGTATTACCAATGTTAAGAGCACTTGTTTTATTAGGTAAAATGATTGAAA